TGCAAACTGAGATTTTTATCTCGAAAAGTAATGGAAAGTAATCCCTTTGAAATGATGCTTTCTTTGGCCACAACGCGAAAAGAATCAAAAAAAAAAAGAATTTTTTTCTTTAATTTACACAAGTTTTGAAAAGTAAAGAAAACAATAATTTTGAAAGTCACCCGCTTACCTAATTTTCTTTTTAAATCTTTTTAATTAGCAAAAAATGGAAGCAAATAAAGGTAACGTTTCACAAAAAAGTGTGGGCCGATACGAAGATGAAATTCTGTCCTCAGTGGATTCCCGGCCTTATGCGCGAACAACAATAACCGATATGACAAGCTCTCAAAAATTTACATTCTGCCATGAATTGTTGTCACAGTCTGTTGCTGAGTTTTCGACAAGTGGATATGAATTCCATCTCTCTGACGAAGAGTTAATAGAATGCTGCACTAAAGCGGAGGATGCAATGAAAGAAGCAAAAAATGTAGAGGCTCCCGAAGAGCAAGAAACAATTGTGGACGTAGTGTTTGAGAACTCTCCAGATGACAACAAAAAAAAAACAATAGTTGACATAATATTTGAGGTCTTTTCTACATCGCCTTTTAATAGTCCTGTAGTATCACCGGAAACTAAGTTAAGAAATTTGGAACGGTCCCCTTTATATATTTTACGCGAAAAACCACGAAAAACCTATAGTCGCGAATTTAGAGAAAAGGCAATATTGGCTCTTTTGTACGATTCTACGCCAGAAAGTAAGTAGCTCTTTATAAGCTTTTTTTAAAAAGTCTAACTTTCTAAATCCATTTTAGGAGAAGATTCAGACCGTGGTTATATCGAAAAAGAAGACACATACAACGCAAATGAAAGTAAGTTGTTTTTAAAATCCGCGATGAGACAATATTTAAATTAATCCAAAACTTCAGTATAAAAGCAACAATTACGATTGGGATGACGATGATAATGACATTTTTGCTTTCATAAGCACTCAGGAAATGCTACGTCAAGATGTGAAGGTCAATAATGTTACACCCGGACTTCAAAAAGTTAGCGGGGAACGGCCGGAGTTGGGAGAAGGCAAAAATGAAGTTTCTGCTGGTTTTCAAACAGCGAATGGTAAAACAATCTCCATATCGGAAGAGAGCAAAAGAGCCGTGCAAAATATTTTAAGAGAATTTCAAGACAATTTGCAAGAAACGAATTATGAAACTGAACTGAAAGACATGAAAGCTCGAATGCAGTCCAAGTTTGGAAAAACTGCAAACAGCAGTGCGCAAATAGCCAAAAAAACACCCTTTGAAGCGATGTGCAAAGAAGTAAAAATGGACGAAGCTCCCAGCACCAGCAAATTTGCAGCAGCAGCTGCTCCGCGCCGTAATTGGCGTCCGCTTTCATTAAACCCAAAATTTAACAGGCCAAGAAATGAGCAGATAGCCCAGGGTATGTTATTCACATTTTATTATGCTTATTATTTTATTATTATTATTTTGATTGGCTTTAAAGGCAACCAAAGAGACAAGAGCTTGGTGCTGAGAGAAACTAATGTTGCATTAGAACTTCAAAAAGCTAGCGGAGAACGGCCGGAGTTGGGAATAGATAAAGACGCAGTTGGCGTAAGTGAAATTTCTAATGAAAACGAAAAGGAAGAAGTGAAAAGGAAAGTGAATCGAGATGAAGTGGGCAAGGTGAATAATCCGGAAAGTTCGCTGGTTTTGAAACAGCGAATGGTAAAAAAATCTCCATATCGAAAAAAAGCCAAATATCCGTACAAAATATCTTAAGAGAATTTCAAGACAATTTGCAAGAAACGAATTATGAAACTGAACTAAAAGACATAAAAGCTCGAATGTCGATTAAAAGTATGCAGTCCAAGTTTGGAAAAACTGCAAACAGCAGTGCGCAAATAGCCAAAAAAACACCCTTTGAAGCGATGTGCAAAGAAGCTCCCAGCACCAGCAAATTTGCAGCAGTAGCTGCTCCAGTGGTGCACCGTAAATGGCGTTCGCTTGCTTTAAATGCAATACTTAATCCCAGGCCACCCCCCCAACTTTGTGAGACACCGGGAAGAAGCTCGCGACAAATCGAAACTACGACTAGTACACCAGGCGTCAATAGACCGAAGAGAGGGCGGCTCTCGGGCTTAAGTCGTAACTTTACTAATACAAAGAAATAAATACGACTTTATATATCAATGCCTAAACTAATATCAATATACCTAGATGTGTCAAGGAGGTGATTTTACTAATCATAACGGTACCGGTGGTAAATCCATTTATGATAAGAAATTTGCCATGGGCATGTGCTTAGATTATAAATTTTTCATAAAATGGGAGATAAATTTGATTTATAAATGTTCACATGTGTTTATATATCAATGTAAGTTTATTCGATAATTCCTTTGTATGAGAAATTTCAAACTCCGCATCTTTCCCAATTTCCTCAAAGCGATAATTTGATTTTTTTCTCTTTTTACAAGTCCAAAATCCCAGTTGTCAATTTCAGTGTAGTGCATTGAATATAGGAAGGCCCGTCCCGTTACTCCAGAAAAATTGTTGCGCACTTCGTTATATAAAACGGAGGTGTGCGCTCAAACAAAAGACAACTGTATTCTCTTATTCGGTTATATTTTAAACATTTAAACAATGATTAGAATATTTTGTTTTCATAAAAATGGTTAATAAATTATTTTTGTGAAAAAGATGCAGATCTATATGGCATAAGTGCAGATGCCTGACAGTTAATTAGATCTTTGGGTGTGAAATTTGGAAACTCTTCATTGTTAGGCGAAAAGAAAGAAGACAAAAAATTTCATGGCACTGCTTACCTTTATGATTTCGCTTTTCAATGTTTTCAAAACATTACAAAAATGTAAGAAGCTATGCAAGTAAACACTATTAAACAATAATGTTGCGCGGGCAATACGAATTTAATGAAAACAACTAAGATATTGTTTGAGACGGATAAAGAAATCAACGTAAATATAAGCAATCAATTTACGCAAAAATAACGAGAAAAAAATCTATTTGAGAACTATTAAGGAAGTTATATTCGGCCGGAGCCAAATTTCGAATAACTACCACCACTACAGTTTTTAGTGCCCTATGCTTTTATTTATTTATTGTCACAAAAAAGCGAATCAGGTAAAGTTCATTAAGATAAATTAATCTACCACGTCGTGGCGTCTACCATATCTAAGTTAGAATTAACACACTCAGCTTCTCGCATTCCATTTATGTGATGCCCGTATGAATTGTAATGAGAAAGTTAATCCACAAACTCGCGATGCCCAACATAGTTAATTTAGAATTGAGACACTTACTACTCATCTAGTCCTTTTGGTGTTGTTATTAAGAAAAAATTAATCCACCAGGTTGTGATGTCCGCAGTATTTATTTTAGAATTAACGCTTTTTAGGCTTCATATGAGGAACTTACAAAATAGTTGTAAACATTCTGCTTCGTTTATCTTATAATTAATAAACAGAAACATAAACAAAATAAAAATGTTGCGTGGAGAATTATTCTGAGCTTTCGTTTATTTTGATAGAAAAAGGGTATAACTTTTGTTCATTTTCATAGAAAGAGGCGTAGCTTTTGTTTAGATACGTATCATTTCTTGTACATGCAAATGTATGAAAAGAAGTTGAATGCTTTTATTGAAGCTTTTTCTAAAGAAATAACTTTCTGTCTAAAAGCTTGAGAAGCGAAGAAATTTAATCACTTGTAACTTCGTGCGCGTACGGCCGCTTTCACCCTTTTTTGCATTTGCAAAAACCCATAAATTTCTGTTGAGAAAAAAGGAATTGTGTTCAGCTTACACTTTAGTGTGGGCTTGTGCTGGGAGCAATTCGGCCCATTTTCGATACCCCTGTCGATATCTTCATTGCTATGACTAGGGGAGTGTCAACGAAATACTCCACACAAATGCACATATATGGCTCAAGTCAGAATTTCAATCTGATCGGTAATATATATACTCTATAGCGTTTTTGAAGCTTTTGGGTGTTGCAAACATTATACATCATTAAGTAAGTATCATGGGCAATCAGTGAATCGAATAATTTTCTTCCTTTTATGTCTGAAAAAGGACTGTCAAATTCAATACGTTGAAGTGTAAATAAGCCTTGTCGCCTTAGAACTCAGGCTGAAGTAACATTTTAACTTTCCTGTGGTCCACAATATCAAAAGTCGTGGAAAAGTCAATCCTCACTATTGTTAAAAGAGACCTTTATTAGATCATTTTCATATTTTAATTCTTTAACTTCTTAAGAAGAATGAATATACAATTAAGGAAAGAATTATAATTTTGTTAAGATGCGTATATAAGAAGAAGTGTATATAAAAAACAATATATTTAATAAAAGCTAGCTTAAAAATATATACATGAAGAAAATACTTCTTTAATACATTGAGTTTCATGTACAGATTATTAAAATAGAATTATTAATTAATCTAAGGGGCCTCTCTTTGTTTAGCATCATTTCTTGCAAAACTTAACGAGAGATTTTTCGCTTAGCGCTTAATCCAGCCAACTATTAAAAAATATAATTAAGATATTGCTGTGCTGGTATTTAGTTATTTATAGAGTTAATAAATAAATGATTATAAAGCTGTCACGCTGCTTTATTTAACACCATCGAATATCGAAATTAATACGAATACTTTATTGAACATAGAAACATAGGCATGCACTATTGTTTGCACATTATACTAGACTTAAGAAATAGGAGGTAGAAATGTAAAAAAAAAACATATATTATATACATAAACATATATACTATAACACTTATTAATTAGATGAAGAGGAGGTTTCGCGATGATGAGGTTTTTTTTTTTTTTGTGGGGTGGAAAACCATTCCATCTGGATCAGTTGGAAACATCTCTTCTTGAGTATTTTAAAGGTGAAGTGTTTAAATGTCCTTAAACGCCTCTTTAATTTCATTTAATTTAAAGTCATTTACGAGAGAACCATTACTATTACTTTTGAAATTGTCTTCCAATACAAAGCTTTGGTTTATTTTGTTAATTTGCAGTTGACATCACTGCTGGGCTTAACATGCAAATAGTTTTATTCTTATATGTGCATAAAAACAAGATAGAGTACAAATTATTAAATATCCACTCTCTGCCCTATATATATTAATACATCATATATTTCATGTAGATGTTTTCAATACTATTTTCATATTTATTGACCTTATTTCGCGTATATATAATGCTTCATTGTGTCAGAAAAATAGTCATATATACTATATGAATGAAAATGTGAACAATTATCAGTTGAAAAGAAAATAGCCTTTCTTTTTACTTGAAGTTAAACGCCAACTTTTACGCCACCAAAGTCCCATTACTGGCCTCTTCCCGGTTATGAGCACTGATCAGGAGGTGGGTTCGGTACGTGATAGCGGTTACTGTGCAGCTGCTGTTTGGAGTTTATATCAAGCTTATAGACGCATAGACGATGGTCGTGGTAAATCCTATGAGCTAGGCTAATCAACAGTGAAGTGCATGCGTGGCATATTACAATGCTGGATAAAGCAAGCTTGTCGTGTCGAACTTTTCAAACAGAGGCAATCCAATCAACATGCTCTACATAGTAAATTTCATTTGCACACTGGGGAGGAAATATATTCCGACGATTTTTGCAATCATTTGCAAATAGATGTGGTCTCTTTGCATATAATTTTTTTAGTTCAAATGATTACTTCGGGTTTGCAAATTATCTATACGCAGGTAAGTTAACATGAACAATACTTTTTACATTATATTAAAAATTAAATATTTTTCTTAAAAGATGAAGTGGCTTTTATCCAAAATTTGGTATACTATGTCGAAAGAGCTTATCGTACACCAGATTAAAGGTAAGGGAGCAAGAGGAAGAATTGAATTTTAAAATATTTGACGATAATAAAGTCTGTCATCTTGTGTAGATTACTTAAATTACCAGTCTTCTTAATATAGACTGCAATCGAAGGCGACCGCGAAGTCCTGCTCAGCCAGGCCATTGTGTCATCCCTGATTGGCACATCAATTAGCTTAAAGTTTATCGGAATCGATAACGTGGTTGCACTCCGTAGTCAGTATAGTTTCCAGCAAAATGCAGCTGCAAATCGTACCTGTACTCCTTTTTTTAGATTAGTAGTCGCCACAACAGAAGACAGCCTTTATAGGAAGTTGCCTTCTCTCCATGGACGAACCGCAACGCGACTAGTTCTCTTGAATCGTTCTAAATCTGAATTATGGGACGGAAACCTTTTTTAGAAACATGTATACCTTTTTTTCTATTGCAAAAATTATGTTAAACGCTATTTTCGACATATTTCAGAGAATGTTGAAAATTTATAGAAATTCACTGGTAAGATAAATTGAATTATATAATAAGTTACTTTCCAAGAAATCTTTGATTTCCTCCGAAGCAATGACAGCTAATTTACTTCTTTCATTTCGTGAACTAGTTGTTTTACCTAAAAAGTATTATAGCATTTTAATTGTTGTAACTATTATTAATGATTAATACAGTTATAAAATACTAATAATCAATCAGTTTGAAGTATTGACTAGAGAATTTATGCTAGACTTTAAAAGAAAATTGAAGCTATTAACTTCTAAATTTTGGATGATATCGAACGTCTAGTCGAACATTTAAACTTTTAAATATAAATTGACGTATTCTATTTTTAAGTGTTTTATATATATTCTGTAAGAATGGAATAAAAAAGAAAGCCAAAAGGTTTCTTAAAGTTGGCAACGCTTTCAATTTGTCGGTTGCTGTTTATTATTTTTCTGGCGAGTTGAAGAAACAAATGTAGCAATCCCAATTGTCATTGTCAACAACACAGCTGATACTAGTGAAGTGATATGTGTGGCGATATAAAATATTTGTAATTTTTTTCTCGAAAATTGTTTTTTTTTCGCACTTTTGTGTATACGTAGCAAAAAAATTGTCAGATTTGTCTAAAACAGCCTATAACTCAAAATCATTTAGTTAAGACGATGTCCGAAGAGGATGCTATAAAAATCGATCAGCCTCAAGAATTAAGTTTTGAAGAATGTAAGTATTTATCGTGTTCGTCTTATCTGGAATCAATGCAGCATATTAATAAGCCTTTGATATTTTTGCAAAGATCCGGAAATTTCCGAAGAAATTGAAAAACGACACAAAATTGAAAAATTACTTTTAGAAGGCGGTGGGCATATAGAAATCGATATACTGCGAGAGTTGGCTCGTTCAGATTATGGCCTAGTTACAGATGATTTACGTAGAACGCTTTGGCCGGCATTAGTTGGTGTGGACGTAAAGTGTTTATTGCCAGCACCAAAGCTTTGCGACTTTGAAACTCATCCCGAATATAATCAAGTAGTTTTGGATGTGAACCGTTCGTTGAAACGTTTTCCCCCAGGTATACAAAATACACTATAATGTAGTACAATATATTTTAGTACAAAATACACTATACTGTAGTACAAAATATTTTATACCATATACCAGGTATACCATATGAGCAACGTATTGCTCTGCAAGACCAGCTGACTGTTTTAATAATGCGAGTAATCTGTAAATATCCGGATTTGCGGTACTATCAGGGTTACCATGACGTAGCGGTTACGTTTTTGCTGGTAGCAGGTGAAGAAATCGCATTCGCCGTCATGGATGTATTGTCGACAAATCATTTTTCCGAATGTATGCAAGAAACAATGGATGCCACACAAAGACGTTTGTTATTCATTTGGCCTGTGGTTAATTTTGAAAATCCCGAATTATTTAATTTTCTTCAACATTCTGGTGTGGGCACTATGTTTGCTTTACCTTGGTATTTGACATGGTTTGGCCACAGTCTTAACTCCTACAAGGCAGTAGTGCGTTTGTACGACTATTTTTTGGCCTCTCCAGTGTATTCACCATTATTTGTAACTGCTGCAATTATACTTTATAGAGCTGATGAATTATTTCTGCAGGACTGCGATATGGCGTCTATACATTTGCTCTTATCTAAACTTCCAGAAAACCTACCTATCGAACAGCTTTTAAATATATCGAGCCACTTGTATGACAAGTACCCAATGACGACGATTAAAAAAGAAGTTGAAAGATTAGAAAGAGAAGAGTAAGTTTGTAAATTGCTGCGCTCGATGATTTGTAGTAATTCTTGAACTGAATTATTTGGAATATCTTTTATTTGCAGTCAAGAGCGGCGTAAGCTTGACGAGAAATCGGCTTTGGAGAGACGCAAAAAATTGGCACGCAATGCTAAAAGCAGCAGTAATTATACGTTAAGCCATTGGATACCGCAGTTATTAACACCGAAATCGTTTATTGTAACAACGGCTTTTTCGATATTTGTGGGCTTCTGTGCTTATTATTACAAAAGTCAATATATGTCAGCCGGTATCAGTTGAGTAAAGGTGTCTTTGCAGCCGTCTTCAGTGCATAATCTACGGCATGCAACCTCAGTCCACTGGGGGTGGATGATTGGAATATCTTTATTTTAATAATCTACAGCTGGTATTTCGACTTAGTACTTAGTTTATAATATCGGGGTATAACTTGCAAAAGACGTTTTTTTATATTGAAATTATATGTTTCTCCTTATATCTCTCTGTGTTTTAAGCATTTAAAGATATTTGCTATATACTTTGTGATCTACATACCTATATAATTTATTCACTACATCGCATCTCGTCTGTATAAATTTATGGACAAATAAGTTAAAAAGATTGGCTGTATTACGTGTTTTGAACCGCAGATATATATTTTATTAAACCAATATATAAAATTGATTTAATGAAGAATATTATCAAGTTAAAATCCTGTTAAAGGGTTACTTTTTAAGGTTTTCGCTTACATGTTTTATTTAAAAAGTTTATGATATCTTTAGGCAGACATAGAACATAGAACAATTTTCCAAAAACTAATAAAATTCATTCATATGTGTAGAATGTTTCATACATACTGTTACACGAATAAGCAAATAATTTTAAAAATTTATTTCGTGGATAATGCAGACCATTAATTCATTAATACTGTTGTAGTATTCTATACTTAGAATTTCATTGCACAAAAATCGACAACTATGGTTAAGAATCGTGTTCGTTCTTACATTCTCTAGTGTTCGTTCCTACATGTTTTAAAGCGTCATCTATGGCTTCAATAAAACCATCCAACTTTTTTCCATCCATTTGCATGTGCAAGAAACGGTGCTTATCTTCCCTATTACCGCTAATGAGTAGCCGAAGGGTAAGAGTTGTTAATAACCTGTAATTGTGGGCATAACTACTATCACCCATTATCAAACGAGTATCCCAATTAAAAGATTCTACTAGTGGATTGTCCTGAGCATTAAGTTGTCTTATCAGATGACGAGTTACTTCGGTGCGACGCGTGTCTAGCACAGTTTCTATGATTTTTTGCAGCTCTGGCGTTAAATTTAGAAATTCAGATTTTATGTCGACACCAGCATCGCAGCATATATTTTTATAAAACCGTGCTAAAGCACGGATGGTAACCATAAAATCATCTGGGCAGCCATACTTGTAGCACAAGTGCATAGTTTTCTGCTCATTGCGGTTCCCTATTAAAAAGTCAATGGAATGGTTAAGTATCTGAAATTAGTATGAAACATAATAACAAACTGGAGACAAAGTTAAGTAAATGGCGACTTACTTCGATAAGAATTTCTTTATTATCAATGTTTAAAAGAAATTCGCAATCTTTCATCTTTTCGCTTTATCTTAAAAAAAACAAACCGGTGACAGAGATGCCAAGCTTCCATGTTCGTTTCATCGAATTATGTGTCAGTCTTTGACAAAGTTAATGATTAAGATTTTTATTGAAAAAAATTTTGACCCAAATAATATCCAGCTTGGAACAATTCCAGTAAATTTACTTCAACATTGGCTGCGAGACAACTTTACGTCAGCAAAATCGCAAAACGAAAAATTTCTTATTATTGTAATTGGCAATTCAGTGCGTGGCACTGTTGAGGACAATGGTTTGCATTTTGATTTATGAATATTTGGAGTGATTTTACTATCTTAGATGTTATGCCCGACGCCTATTATACCATTCTACGACGCCTCAATAAGCATTTCACTGTTGCGTGTTTGCATTGGCAGGACGTTACCAAAACCCCCAGAGTTCCCAATTCATACGATTGCTCTATAGATGAGAACGAGTACTGGAAACTTTAGGAACAAAGAAATGTACTCGATCTTTTGCACAGTACGTCGTTGAAGAAAATCGATGAATGCGTTGCGCAAGACTTAAATTTGGGGACATTTAGCTTCAACAGCATCACATACCTTGACTTGCTGTCCTTACAATGGTGTGGATCCGTTTATTGTAAGAGAATGTCCTCACATTTCCTTCACCAATAATTGTGATCAATTCGGTACTGCCTTGCAAAAAAGCAAAAGACACGATTAGTTTGTGTGCCCAGCTAAACCTCAAACCAGTTGCAGATTTACTTACTTTGCCATGTCATGAAATAATAATTAAGGCTGAATAAACTTGCTATTTTATTTACCAAATATTTAACTAACGCTTTACATCGTCTAGGTAGATAACCAAGGTACTATTGAACCTAATGGTTCACCTCTTACATTAACTCTAGTCATTATAACGATTTCATAGGAAGAAAAACTAATAAGAATAAATATTTCTTAACGTAAAATACAAAATTCAACAAATTAAAATTATGGATGGGCTCATGCGTCAGTCCACTTTTCTGTTTCTTTAATAAAACCAATTAAGATACTTTGGAAAGCATTTCGTATGTCCATTATTCATATCAGCTTGCAGCACTTTGACAAGTATACAAGTCTCACTCGTATAACACGGTGAATTCGAACCGCGCTGAAACCGTCGAAACGGTCGTATGAAGATTTTTTATTTTTTTATTCAAAACAAGATATAATACAGCATAATTTAATTTAAATATAGATATAATATAAATCAAGGTAACATATTCCGTGGTATATCGAAAATAAGCCTTAAAGTGCAAAATTTTATGATAGCTTAAAATTCGTCGCAAACCTACATATAAATAAAAAAAGTAATCCGGCTGAGTAGCCGAAGGCGAGGAGTCTCGATTAGCAACTCAATGGTCGTGAGTTCGAATCTCAAATGCCGTAGAGTTTTTAATAAAAGCCGGTAGCCTTAGATGCTAGTGCTTTAAGAGTTTAGTCTTAGAATTTATTTCTCTGGCGATATTAATAATAATAATAATAATAAATAAAAAAGTTCACTTCAAGATTTTATAAAAAAAAAGAAAAGACGGTATTTAATTTTATAATGAAATATAAAAATTAAAAATATATTCAAAACGTAACGATGACGACCACAAAATTAATTTTTATTAAAAATTACAGTTAATCTATTTTTTCCTCTTAAACGATCATTTACGAATGATAAATTAAAATAAAAGCAAAAACTAATTGGAAAGAACACACATTCGATTTTTTGAATTCGTGTGTTCGATAAGTATCGTGTTCTACAAGGGATGCCGGTATATGATGTTAGAATGAAATATTTGCCGAATACGCGTTATCTTGTGTGTCTTTTGTCTGCCGCTACAGATCCAGAGTGAAAGAAGATTAATTTGATAAGCGATTGCTTTAGAAAGAAAACGCATTACGCTAATATCTGCATTTGTTAAATTTGTGGAATTGTTATACTAACGGCCATTTAACAGTTTACCCTTTCATTTTGGTTACTTCTTTAGGCGAAAGCTCGATATGATGTCACACAGCCTCAAGTGTCTAGGAAATACTAGCATATATATAACTGGTTATGTTGTTAAATGCATAAAGTGTAGGACAACAAATCTTTACATAGTAATTTGTTTTCGTTTCATCTTCTATGTCCGTTCTGGCGATTGAAGATTTCCAAGTCTCATACTTTTCGCGTACTTCAAAACATTTTAATTTACCCATCACCGAAGGTTGAGAGGTATATTCATTGCATCGTCCAGGAGGAAACATCGGAGACTCCGCAAAGTATATGTATTCTTGACCAGAACCAAATTCTAAATCAATTTAAGCATGCCCGTCTGAAGTTCTTGCACGCAGGTTACTATTGAAATTGACCAAATCGATGTAAGGATCTGCTTACAGCACCATGCAAGTGAGAACACCTCTGTTTTTCAAGGGGAATGGAAAATTGGTTTTTTGCTCATTACTATAATACATATATGTACAAAAATTTGAGTGCGTATTCTATGGGCAATGCTGTAGTATTTGTGCACAAAAATTGAAAACATTGGCCACGTATCCCCAATAGTAAAGTATATCAAAATTTAATTATTTTTGCATTACCTTTGTAACATGCTGAAACAAGTTTCAAAAAGTGTACAAATTCTTGGCCAGTTACAATCAGTGAGTGCACCTAAAAATGGCCGCCGGCTCGTCTGTCCATCGATCTGTTTGCATAAGTTTGTAGTATTTGCGGTAAACACTCGCCCGTTAGCGATAATGAAGATATCGACTATAAATTTGCAAAAGAATTTCAAGTAACTTAAAGAACACGCCTACAACGCCGACACGCTTATGCGACAAAACTGTTAGATTGAAGATAGAAAACACCAGCCGCGCCCAATCCTTATTATAGAGCATGAAAATTTAGTTCTTTTACTTGTTTTGTGTTTTTTAGAATAACGGTAATCGGCAAAAAATAATATAATTTTCTTAGTTGTTATTGTTTTCTTTTTGGAATGTTGAATTTGAGTATGGTTTAACACGCATTTAATATGTCAGGATTATAAATTCAGCTTATTATATACTCCTCGTAACACGTGGCATTGTTTTTCATTTTTCCGATTGTCTCCCCTAAATTGGCACGACAAATATTTATCGAATTTTTTTACAGAAAACGCTTAACTTAAGTCAGTCAGTAAGTAGTCTGAGCGTCATGTACTGGCTCAGTACTACACTTTCAATAGTAAGTGTTTCACTGGTTATTTGTACGGCATCAGTCAAGTGTCCAATCTAAAAACACTTCCATAGAAACGCTGTAATACTTATACTGTAAAGGTATGTTAACTTTGTGCTGTTGCGTGGAATACTCAAAAGAGAAAGTTAAGAAAGTCCAACCCTTTTATTAGACCGTGATTCTTCTTTCGTCCATTCGTCCACACGTCTGGATTCCTTGTGTTCAACCTACCAGTCGCCGTTTTCCATGACGCCATTAAAAATGTTTCGGATCGGACCACTTCTTCGCCCATTTCCCATATAACGTCTTATTTTGAAGAAGTCGTTATATTAAGCGAAGTGGGGTAGCGTATTTAATGGTGGCCTTTTTCCTGCTATAGTAAAGTTTATATTACAATTCGTAGTTCCGTTGTCCAATTATGAAGGAAGAGTTTTCATGAATAATAACCTTGGCTGGACATACTTTACCTCGTTAACCAATGGATACACGCTATTTACCAGCGAAGACAGCAATTTGCTTTTCAGTCCGTAAGATTAATATGTGTTAATTCTCCCTGGTAATATCCGTGCAGAGATTTGCAAAATTTGGTTTAGAAATCACCAATAGCAGCTAACGTCAGTAAATTTTAGAGATATGCTAATGGTAATAGATGTTTACCTTTCTCTATATGGCTGTCTCAGTTTTTTATTTTACGGCAAAGCGTGCATTTTTTCACGAATTCTTTTACGGTCAATTTATGGGAACTCGCAAATTAGTCACGCCGTTACCGTAACTGTTTTTAATTAATGTTGTTTTATTGTACAATAATGAACTTTCAAAGCAAATCAATCTGTTGGTAATCATTGTAAGAAGAGGCTAAAGTATTCAATTCAGTCGTATTACAATTCAGTCGTATATTTAAATTGGTATTAGACGAGTAAACTCTCTTTATTTAAATGCTTTTTATTTGTTTGGAACATGGCAGAAGCCAATACGATCAAACATTCGTTGTTGCTTCGGGTTTATTATCTAATCCTATCAATTAATTCATTTTTTAATTAATTATATACGCGATATACATTGAGTGCGTTCTTATATTGATTCCGAGAGATCTGAGAGAATATGCTGCTAAACTTTTTAACATATTATCTTAAAACTTCGTTATGTTAACCTAGGAAGAGGAGAAAGAAGACGAGGAGAAAAGTGCTGCGGATCAATACTCAATCAAAATATTACAAGGATTACCAACCAAAAATTAAAAAATATTTCGCGTAAAAGTTTTATTAAAAACAATTTGATTAGGATTTTAAGCTCAGTTAAGGCACACTGCAATTATTTTGCTAGGGCTGGAAGTTCAACTTCTTGATTTGATTCATTTAGACTAATACGTTTAGTTTGATAAGAATAACGTGAATTTTAAAATAACTTTCTTTGTTTAAAGTGAATGCATGCAAACTATTAATACCAGCTCTTCTTATTATCAGGCCAACCGAAAAAAAGAAAAAAAAATAAAGAGGAAATAAGCGGCAATCATATATTTGAACACTTGCTGAGTGGTTGCAGGAAAACGTAAATTTACTTAAGTTAAAACCTATGCGAACGATACCTACACAAGCAAGTCATCCTGCAATACAGGAAAACGCACTGTGAAAATTTGCGAAAAAAATAACACCCAACGTAAATTCTCCGTGAAAAAGTATATGTGGTATAAACATCCGCAGCATAAATTCTGGAAAATGTCACTTGTTGTTGTGATTACGGTTTGCTTATATGCAGCGTTTCATTCAAAGGTAACAGCTGCAGGGCTTTACAATGACAATGAAATATATTCAAACGGAAAATTTTACAATTATCAATGCTTCGTCTATAAGGGTAAGGGTAAGTGTCGAACGCTTACAAGTAAATAAATATAAAAATAAATAAATATATAAAAAAGCATTTAACCAATAAATAAATACAAAAATTCGTTTAGACCTAAGAAACAAATTCTAGTATGAAAAGTAGGATGAGCACTGGCAACCAAATAAATAAAAGAAATAAATGAATAAAATGTGAATTATAATCAAGGGAAATGAAAGTGTTCAACTTTTTGAATGTTCCAAATGTGCTTTTAACTTGATCCATAAAAAGTTGTTATAAGCGCTATAAGAGCAATTTTAGATTTTTAAAATATTTGTTACGCATTTTTATGCGGGAGGTTATATAGGCATATTTGGCTGTTTGCCTGCTTGACTGTTCGTCTTTTCAAAACATGATTACGCTGATAAAGTTTTGTGTAAACTAACAAGTTCCATTATGAATTTTGAATCTGTCCGTTTTATGTACAATCTTATATAAATTTGGTGTATGCTGATTTATAAATATCTGATGACATTCGTAAGTAATTTTTCATTCACAGAGTGTTTTCATAATTTTCATACCCATCATCGAGGGATGAGAGATATATTCATTATGTCGAAACCTTTGCAGCGCCCACAAGGAAACATCACAGCCTCCAAAAAGTATATACATTCTTGATGAGCATCAAATTTTAAATTAATTTAAGCATGTCCGTTCGGCTGTCTGTCCGCCTATCTAATCATTCATTCTTCCGCTATCAACTTCGCAGGCTGGTATTGAAATTGGACAAAATCGGTCGAAGGACACGCATACAGCACCATCTAAAGTTTTGTGAAGTCCCCTAAATATGTCACCGATTGTTCTTTTATCACTGCATTCATTTCTTTCTGTTCTCTATTATTAATTTCTTTCATTATTATTTACATTATGGTAATCGGAAATGTTTGGTGAAAACTGAAATGCTATCATTTTCATTGTTGGCTGCCAACTTTTCTTCATTCAAGGGAGAAAGAATAGCTCCTGATATACCGCACGTCTCCAACTAGTTTTTTTTTAACTCTAAAGAAGAAATAAATGCGAAAAAATTTAACATTTTGCGCCTAGTCCTAGTGAAATGTGCTTATATTCGGAAATTGTTTATATATCTGCGGCGTTTTAAAAGCTTAATAAACGGGTAAGGCGTTTCTTTTAACAAGCACGAGATGGTTCCTTGAACTGTTTTGATGTTCCAAATCCAACTTTTTGAAATAAATATTACAATTTTCATAAAATCAATATTGTATTGCTAAAATATCACCTTTCATATATAAGGCTTGATTTCTCAACTGGAAGTATTAAAAGCTTATTCTCATCGTTCTACAACACATTAAATCTAGCTATTGCTGCATCTGTTCCGATCAAGCAGTCTCGAGCTCGAAGCAGGTGTCCCCCGTGGTTGAATAGGACAATTAAATATTACATGAACAAGAAAAACACGCTATTCAAAAAATATTGCAAAAGTGGCTCTGCTCTTGACTACTTCGCTTACTCCGTGGCAAGGCATAAATTTAACTGCCTCAATCACCATTATTATTGCAAATATCTTCAGTTCATCAAATCCTCTCTGTTCGCTAATCCTAAATACTTTTTTAAATTTGTTAACTCAGAAAGAAAAATTTCCATACACCCTTCGCATGTTTCTTTTAATGGGCCTGATTCCTCGGATGATCTTGAAATCTCATATCTGTTCGCTCAGTACTTCCGTCGAAACTTCTCGACTGCTAATTCCGATTTATCCGCAAACTACCCATATCCTATAAATAACTTGGTTTCAATTCCTAATTTGGTTATTGCTGAAGATGATGTTTTTAAAGGCTTGAGCTCTCTAAAATATAGTTGTGCGCCTGGACTTGATGGAATTCCATCATGTGTACTTAAATCTTGCGCTGTCGAGTTATATGGCGTGACCTCAAAGATTTTTTAACTGTCCTTGAATTTAGGTGGTTTCCCTTCGTGTTGGAAAAGTAGTTTCCTTGTTCCCATTCACAAAAGTGGAAGTAGGCAACTTATTGAGAACCAAATGCTGGCTTCCCTTTCCAGTTAATGAAATGGATAAGCTCTTATCTGCACAATAGATCCTTCAGGTTTTTGTTTAACTTCATCACCTCGGATGTATTCGCCGTTATGTCTGGAAGTCACTTAGGTCCTATTTTATTTAGTTTATACATTAATGATCTCCCATCGGTGATTAATTCCGGTCAGATCTTAATGTAGGCTGATGATGTGAAACTGTTTACTTCCTTCTCTCTAGAATCCCAATAAATAAATGTAAAAAGCTTTCTTTCTCAAGAAGAAAGTCATTCATTACTCAGTATTTCATTGATTCGCATAAGTTGGAGGACGTCGATACGTTCATAGATTTAGGCGTTCTATTTGACCATAGATTACGTTGTAACTTGCATATCGAGCGCTCATTAAGCAAAACTAGGTCCGCGCTTGGTTTTATAAAGAGGTGGTCCAAAGAGCTTGATGGTCCTTACATTACTAAAAGACTGCACATGTGATTGGTTAGACCTATACTTGAGTATGCCTCTGTTGTGTGGTCTCCTTCATATAGGTGCTATGTAGATTCAATTGAATCTGTTCAAAAGTAATTCTTGCTGTTTGCCCTGAGGAATTTGGGTTGGGATCCAATTACCTCTCTTCCCCCATGTGAAAATAGGTTGCTTTTGTTGTCCTTACCGTCTCTCGAAAAACGTAGGTTTGTTCTTGGCGTTTCCTTCGTAATCAAAGTAATAAATGGTGCTATTGACTCGCCCGCATTACTTCATGAAATAAGCTTTAATGTACCCAACCGCTTCTCTAGGCACTTTACCTTGGTTAAGCTTAGTCAATGTAATTATAATTATGGGCTGTTTAACCCGCATACAGTTGTTTGCATGAACCTAAACGATGTCTATCACTTATTCTCATTATCGGACTCTTTAAAGTCCATTAAAGCAACATTGCTTAATGCGCGTAATTTACCTATGTCGTATTTAAACTACCTCTTAACCTTAAAATGCCACGATGGGTCGAAAATGGTGTGTTTTTAACTATTATCGGTTGCTAAGCTTATGCATGTTTACGATGGCTTAGGGGTTCAATCGCAATTTGGTCCTGTACCGCCTCTATGCTATGCATGTTCTTCTTCTTTTTTTTTCATTCTTATTTGTTTTATTATACTTACACTAAGTTTTAATACTAATTAATTTAAGATTTACTTTAAGAGTCAATTGAACTCGACTGTCAAAATTTTTAGTTGAGTTTCTTGTATAAGTGGAATAAATAAATAAATATGATCGTTTTTTCTGTAGAACAAATTGCATCAAATTTAAGTTTACAAACACGCAATATTGGTTTGCAAGCATCCCAGAGGCCTTCTCATCAAATTCTAACACGAATTTTTGCAATATTCCTCCGTGAAATTTTGGATATTCGGAATATTACTATTATACCCTTGGAGTATCCAGTGACTTTATCGAAGGATACCTCTTATGAAGAAAGGAGATTGCGCTATATTTTCAATATGATAAAGTTTGTAGTATTTTTTACAAATCGGAGTGCTTTGTATATAATTCTTTGTTATTTTTGTAGACAACCCAGTATATCTATGATTGATTTGGAAGTTTGGATGCCTTCAATGGGCTACGCTTTAATACCCAGGCAAGTTTATGAAGCGGGAGTCTCAACTTCACCAAGACGTTTTGCCTGGTTTGTCCCACAATCTGCTCTAGCTAAAAATGAGGAGATATGGCATTATAGCATCTTTACTAATCGCACAGATTCCTTATATCAAAACTTTTTGACGGACAGTGATGTGCTAAGAAATTTAAGTCTTGGAAAAGAGTAAGTTAGTGATGGTCCCAAAGTATCCACTCTTACTACTATATTATTACATAGCTATGAATTGTATGTCAGTCCTCTCTGTCAAGAGGGTTGCGCTGTTCTAATAGCAGGGCATCGAAATGAATCAGCTTTTGTGGCGGATCAGATTGTGAAGTTGAATGCATACATCAATGTTTTATGGTTAGGTGCACACTTTCGTTCTGTTGTGAATTTTTTGTATAGACAGCATTTAACATCTTCAGCTTATAAGAAGAAAAAATTTTTGATTTTACATTGGAAACCTTCCGATATTATTTCCGCTAAAACCTGGGGTATGGTAACTATGCCGCCTTGTGAATATTCCGAGTCGTCAATTCTCTCCTTTTGTGAATACGAATTAAAGCCTATCATGAAGTATTACCACAAAAGCTTATCATACAAAATTCGTCTCATGTATGCATTGCGCTATTTTTTCGTGGACGACAAACATATGCAAACCCTTCTATCTTCGGTTAATCGAGAAATCATTTCAGCCAATGAAATCAGTGAAAGATTTTATGATAGCTTGGCTTGCAATTGGTTGAAAAACAATTCGAACGTTTACAACGCCTGGATATCGAAAGAACGCATTACTTTATCTATTGGAGGAATATTTCCTATTAGAAAGTTCAGTCGTGGCCATCAGAATCTTCTGCAGGCAGTACGTGTTGCGGTTAAAGCCATCAACGAAAACGAAAATATCCTCTCTGATTATAATTTAATGGTATATGAAAATGATGGAGAATGCAAGGCAGACATGGTTATGAATATGTTCATACAATGTTTTAGTATACCGTACGTGTTAGGGATCTTGGGGCCTGCCTGCAGTGAAACTGTAGAGCCTATCGCTGGTGTATCAAGAAGCACAAATATGGCGGTAATTTCGTATTCAGCTGAAGGTGCTTCATTTGTGGACCGCGAAGCTTACCCTTTCTTTTTCCGCACTATCGGTTCGAACCACCAATTTGTAGATGTTTATATTAAACTAATGCAACAATTTGGCTGGCAACGTGCCGCCGCTATTACCGAGGATGGACAGAAGTATGGTGAATACATATCTCATATGGAGTCTGTTATGAAAAATAACGATCTAGAGCTAATAGTCAATAAGAAATTTCATAGCGATATTACACATCATGACATGAGTGAGGTTTGTATAAATTCGTTCCTAGTCCTTGCCAATGCAAGTTTGAACGTTTCTTCATATTTTTGCAGCATCTTCAAGAGTTAAAGAGACGCCACGCGAAAATAATCATAGCTGATGTTCACAATAAACTTGCCCAAATGGTTTTATGTGAAGCCTACAAATTGAAAGTATGTCGTAATTTCTATATAATATAAACATATATGTATATATGCCACATGCCACATGCACCAACACATCACAATGACAACTTTTCTCATTGAGCACTTAGAAAATTATGACTTCTCCGAATGCAAGCGCTATTTTCAAACGCTAGGAAACAGTAGAATCTATCTCACTGAAGTCATCAGCCAACAAGGCTGATAGCATCGGCATCAGTCGGCAGACTTACGCATTACCCTTCGAGTTAGATATTCTGTTGAAACGAGGCGAGTTATAAAATGTGGGCAATGTGCAATGTCGGAAGCGCGCAAAATCGCGCCGCATATCAAGTGAATCATTAATAACGACGATAACGTCAAATGCTGTTGTTAGCCCTACTTAAGAAGTTGCGTTAGAAGATGTTTCAATCTAAATAACTTATATTTCACGGACACTGTAAATAATAAGTGATGCGGTTGTGTCGATCATTAAAAGAAACTCAATTGGACCGTGCGGTTGATTTTACGTGATAAACGTCGTCTAAAAAACGTTAGTAGCGTTGAGCTAGAGAGGACTATAAGCCTTGCTGCATTCCAAGGACATTATTCCTTTTAATTGAGACCTTTTTAAGACTTGAACATTCTCTTGAGAAAAAATGTGGCAATGACTTATTTTTATGCCTAGTATAAACGTGAAGCTATTCACAGTCAAAAGAAGCGCTCCAATTTATACACTGCATGAACATTAAAATTGTCAAGACATTTTTTCTTCTTTTTGTAGATGACTGCCTATGAGGGTTATGTTTGGTTTTTACCTTTTTGGTTGTCTAAAGATTGGAGCAGCTATCGCTTAGAAAATCATGCCAATTGTACCATCCAGGAACTGGAGCAGGTATTTATTTTTGAATAAAAAGAAGAAAGAAATATTAGTCTTAATTTTTTAGGCCTTTGAGGGTCATTTTAGCATAAAGCATCGACCGTTTGGTAACGAGTCGAATTTAATGCAGGAAGGCATTTCTATCGCAGAATGGTTAAGCTCCTATCGTTCAGATGTCCTTAAAGAATCTCAATACACGGCATTTGCATACGATGCCGTCTGGGTCTATGCACTGGCAGCCGACAAACTCTTACGCGAAGATAAGGCTGCGGTAGAGAATTTGCGTTCGAAAATTGTTGTTAATCGTTTTGTAGATTTTATATGGGAGACAGATTTTGAAGGCCTTTCGGGTAGAGTTCGTTTCGATCAGGGTGGTTCTCGCTTAACCGACGTTGTCGTAGAACAGTGGCTTAAGGGAAAACCAAACGAAATTGGCCAATATCATCCAAACATAATTAATAGCAATGGATACTTAAAAGTTGAAGGAGGCAGCCTGTTTCTCCGGAATGCCATTAAGTGGTTGTCAATTAAGCAGCCTCCCGATGATGGCAGATATGAATGCTATTTTTCTTCTTTAGCTCAGATACTAAATATTGGGTGTGAAAATGCCGTTATGGCCTTTACTGTATTGATGTGTTCCTTATTGGCAATGATAGTGACGTTGTTGTCTTTTGTATTTTGGAAGGGACGCTATGATAGAAAACTGAAGCACTCTGCGAAAATAATGAAAAATTTTGGAATTGATATATTTTCGCCTTCCCGTAGCATTGCTAACACTTTGGATAAATGGGAGTTACCTAAGGAAAATGTGGTAATCAATCGACGTTTGGGTGAAGGTGCTTTTGGAACCGTCTACGGTGGTGAAGCGTTAATTAATTCTGAAAACTGGACAGCTGTGGCGGTGAAAACCTTAAAGGTTGGCGCTTCTACTGAAGATCGCTTAGATTTTCTCTCCGAGGCTGAAGCCATGAAACGTTTTAATCACAAAAATATTGTAAAACTTTTGGGAGTTTGCTTGCAATCAGAGCCTATTTATACTATAATGGAATATATGCTGTATGGTGATTTAAAAACATATTTGCTTGCCCGTCGGCATTTGGTAAGCGAAACTATTTCTGATGATTCGGATATATCTAGCAAACGTCTTACAATGTTTGCATTAAATATTTCGCATGGCTTGGATTATTTGGCTCAACAGAAATACGTACACCGTGATATAGCTTGCCGTAACTGTTTGGTAAATGCAAAACGAGTTGTCAAAATCGGTGATTTCGGCATGG